GACTGAATCGCCACGTCCGGGGGTTGGCCTGGGAAACGCCGCCTCCGGGCGGTGGAGCTCCGCGCGGCCGGCCGGCCGGCCCGTCCATTGTTAGCCCACCTCTCAGATGTGGGGACTGAGGCGGGAGGAGGATGGCCGCCCCAGGAGGCGATGTCAGGTTCCACGAGTCCGGGAGGCCGTCCCGGGCCCAAGGTCACCCCGCCTGGGCGAGACCCAGCCGCGCCGCCCCGGCTCAGTCCCTGCGGGGCCCAGGGCGGGGCCCAGGCGGCGAGCGCAGCCCGATGCCCGCCCGGTCCCGGGACCACGAGCGGGAGGAGCGTGGCTTAGTCAGGACCACGGCCAGGGCCCCAGCGGGGGAAGTCCTCGAGCGGATTCCCCCAGGAGGCGGGGGTTGGAGGCAGGTCTTGGAGGGAAAGGGGCCCAGGAAAAGCTTCCTCTGGAGGCTGTTGCCATGGAAACGGCGAGAACAAAAAGCTAATTTCTACAGGGCTGGGCACCCACGTGGTTGACATGTAAATTGCAACTTGGGCTCTAGGGTGGAGGCCCTGGGATGGGGTCCCGGAGGCGGAATCCGAGACTCCAATCACGGAGGAGACAGCTGTGCTGCCCGGGGCGGGGCTGGGGGGGGAGAGGCCGGGGGGATGGTGGCCTCCAATCAAATCTGAGCTCCAGGGGTCCTCTTGACAGCTGCCGGACCGGCTGGGAGGGGCGGGGGCTCCTTCATGCAGTCACAAGGTCCAGGCCTGCTCTGAACATCTGCTCCTCAGGGGGTCAGGGGTCACGGGGGTGGGGGGAGCGGCCCTGAGTCCCGCCGGGCCTGGGGGCGGGGGGAGGGGGTCCATGCCCCGCCCTCCACAGCCAGGACGGCCTCCTCTCTGGGGAAGGTGGGGTGCACCTGCCGGCTGCTGGCAACAGTGTCCTCTGCAGACAGCGTTTGCTCATGACTTCATTCCTTTCGCATGATTTTTAAATTTATGTTAGTTTTAAAATTTAATATCTGATCATTTTAAACACATCAAACAAGAGAAGTGCATTTGCGGGAGAGGAATTGTTACTTCCTTTTCGGTCTGCCGCCTCCCTGCCTAGAAAGTCTCCAGAGACCAACCCTGGAGAAAGTGCTCAGAGCCCCCGCTCCCCGTCCCCCACTTCTTCCAGGTTCATGCGCTCGGACTTGGAGCCGATGGCAAAACGCGGTCAACCAGGGGTTGAGGTGTAGTGCGTCCCCCCCCCCCTCTCCTGTCCTTGGGGCTGGTAAAGCAGAGTGCTGCTCGAAAAGACCTAACTGAGACCATAGCTCCAATAGTGTGATATCGTATGGGGA